ACATAGTTTCATTCATTTTGAATTAATTAATTTTTTAATCCTCCCGTTGATCATTGATGTCAAAATGTTTTTTTTTCTTTTCCCTTTTTTTTTTAATCATGCAGGATGGAAGAATTAACTATGACGAGTTTGTAGCCATGATGAGAAAAGACAACCCAGAGATTAGGGCTCAAACCCGGAGGCGAAAATAAATTAAATCCCGACATTGTTGCTTATATATGTAAAAGCCTACTATGCAGATCAGTGCTCTTCACATTTCTCATTTGTATTAGAGGAACCTTCTATATTATATTTAGGAAGCAATTAGTTATCTGGTGTGTTTGGAGGAAGAGTGAGATATCACCGTGATTGTACTATCTGAGAAGGTTCTGTTGTCTTCACGTGATTTGAATTTGCCAAGCATCACTTCTGTTCTTTTACTATTTTGTGTCTTTTGCTTTCACCATTTCTACAACATTAATGGACAAAGGCAAGTGTAAGATGTGGTTACACACAAATGGTCATAAGCTTCTTGTCTTTCCAATTGTTTTCAGCATGTTTGGCTACTACTTAATTTATGATTTCTTATTAGTTACTTATTACTTTTTTAAACTTATTTTGTTATTCTTCTCTTCCTTAGTAGCGTCTATTCATGTAAGGGTCCTACTCCGCACCGAGTAAATTTTAACCTTAGATTCCAATCAAGTGGCTTTGACCAATCAAGTGGTAACACGTGTACTATGTCTTTTTGCCAAAAATAAGATTTATGGATATTCTCATCATGCTTTAATCCTTCTCGCATTTATTTGGGATTTCAAATTTGTTTTCCAAAAAGGGGAGGGGTTTTAAACAATTTGGAGCTCATTATGTGAAATAGGGTAATGGGTTCGAACCCAATTGTCTAGGGACCTAATAACCCAAACTCTCTTTATTAAACCCTCCATATAAAAGCCCAGAACCTCTCTCGTTCTCATTAGGGCTGAGTTAGAGAGAAGAGAATAGGCAAGCAAGATATCTTATTCATCACAAAGGCAAGTGATTTCTTGCTCAAACTTTGTTTTTAAAATTCTAAGTTATGGGTTTTGGAGATCCCATTCTCCTCCATCTTTTGATGTAAGCAAGTTTATGAATGTTTAGTTTTTAATCAAGTTTTTAATGTTTAGTTTTCTATTTTCATTGGATTTCATCTAGGGGAGGATTTCTCTAAGAGATGGATCTCAATCCGCCATCTTCTTTTAAGGAGAAGTACCTATTGTTGTAATGTAATAATAACTTTGCAAATCCAAGTCTTTGATCCATGTTTTGATGTGATTTTTCTGTTTGTTTTGATTAGATCTTGCTCTCTGTGATCTCTGCTATGTTTTAAATCATTAGGATTGTCCCAATTTTTGGTTGGAATGACATCTCGAGAGCTTTAATGGTGATTTTTGACATGCTTGGTTATTTGATGTGAAACTTTTTGGAATAGACTCTCCTTAGCAGTAGAAAACTTGGGTCGGATTTACTTTTTGATTTGGTTTTGTATCGATAAAGTTTTAGATCAAATTAGTTGAAACAAACGGGTATTTCATTAAAAGAGGGTTTTTACAATTACATTCATTGGAAATATTTTGTGAGATGTTCTATATTCCAATGATGCTTAAAGGCCCTCCCATCATGGCCCTGTAATAACTAGTATATTCCCGGACATGCTTCCTTGAGAATAGAGTAAGGGCCCTCCCAGCTAGCGACGAGCTTGTCATTACGATTTTTTTTTAAAGTGGCTTATTGGAGGACTAAATCTCCAATTTTTGAACCTTCGGGATCGGACTCGGTTATTATAATGTCAGGCAATGCTTTGTTGATTGAAGACTTGCAAGCAGAGCATTTGTTCCCTGAATTCATCGACGAGGTCGAGTTTGTTCTGTAGGGCGGCTTCGTTGGGTTTCTTCATTAAAGTGTTGTAGGCGTAGAGTAGGCATGAGACTAATGCTTATATCACCAACCCTGATGAATCCAATCGTAGAGACATGGGCGGATCTTTTTACATCTTAGGTATGATTTTTCCTATGGGAATGATGTAGTCATTTCAGTTTGGTGACTAACACTTCATCTCTTTCCATTTGCAGGTATTGAACCTAGACCGAAAGTCATTATGACTATGACTTCCGCACTTTCTCCCATTGTTGAGCAAAAATATCTCCCCCCTCATGGCTAACCCAATAGGGAAGGCAATTTTTGCCCATACCTATTTACCCACCTAGCCCGACCATCAGTAGGCCCGCCCAAAACCCACCCATTTAGTTAAATAGGCCTAATCGGGTGGGTTTATTTTAAACCATTCTAAATGGGCAGTGAACGGGCGGTGCTTATTTACTCGTTTGCCTGCCCGATCCCCAAAACCAAAACCCGAAGGCCGAACCCCTAAATGTCTAAATCTCTCTCTTTTTCTCGGCGACTGAGCTCCTCATCATCCCGACCCCGCCTCCTCCTCCTCTACCTCCTCCTCCGCTGCCTCAACCGCCTCTCGAACCCAGAGCCTCCGACGTCGCCTCGGCTTTACCTTTTCCGTTGAAATCATCGCCACGCCCATCGCCGGTGTGTCCTACGTCAGCACGCCGGTCCCAGAGATCTCTCAAAAGGAATTCCAAAGCTCTCGACTCAAAGTCTTCGATTGAGATCTTAAAAGGAAACAGGTCTCTTCCCTCTTTATTCCTAAAATTTTCAATAAAATTGTGATCTTTTCTGTTAATAATCATTGTGTTTTTTAGAGAGATCGATCTGTAGTTATGGAACATGCTTCTCTCATGACTTCATTTGTAGTTATGGAACGATCCATCAATCTGTTTTCTTGTGATATTGAAGTAATCAACTTGAATGTCCATCCCAAGCCTATTGATCTGAGACAAAACATGGGAATTATATATTAATAATGATTATGATTGAAAATTTTATGTAAATAAAAACAGGAATTAGATTGATGCATACAAAAATTCTCCCTGTGCATTTGTTTGTTCTATGTTATGCAAAAAATATTTTTTTTGTTAATCATTTGTTTGTTCTATGTTATGGGAATTATATATCAATCTGTTTGTTCTATGTTATGACTCTCAATGTTTCTCCAACTTCATTAACTTACCATGTCTACATGTGTATGCTTTAATTTGCTAATTATCTGTTTGTGTACCAGGGCTTAATTCAAGAGACTTATCATGAAGTTGTGGTGTTTTAAGAATTAATTCTTTTTGTTTAACTGACCATAAAGTTCATATTAGGTCAAATCTCATTAAACTATCATGAACTTTGAGGTGTTTTGCGCGTGGCTGTCAACCTCTTTTTTATTAGAGAACCCACTATTGATTTTTTGCCCCTTTTCAAGTACAGTAATAGCTAGGGCAGAAATTCTCTGTCGATGACCACCAGCTAGAGTCTTTGTGATTAAGAGACATTTAGTATCTGGGTTATGCTTATCTACATTTATCTAAAACAAGGACTAGAGTCTTTGTGATTAAGAGACATTTAGTATCTGGGTTATGCTTATCTACATTTATCTAAAACAAGGATGAAGTGAAAAAGGTTATGATCAATTTGAGTATCTGGGTTATGCTTATCTACATTTATCTAAAACAAGGATGAAGTGAAAAAGGTTATGATCAATTTGTGAGACAAGCTCAATTTGTCACCCAAATAAAGACTTGTGCTTTATCTATATTTTCAGTCGGAGAGCAATAACCTCAAAAACTTAAAGTTAACTTAAAGTTGAATAATTGATCGTCAACTTTATGATTATACATATACAGTAATCAGATGCACTCATGCAAGAATGAGCAGGAAGATCAAAGACATGCATACGAATACGTAAAGTCAACGTACGAATACATATTGCATGCCTTTCACTTTTTTGACAAGCACATGTTTTGCCCAGTAAATCAGTTTGATAAAGCAAAGTGATCTTTTTAAACTATGTATTTTGTTGACTTGAAGAATCTGAACACAGAAATGTATAAGAACCTAGGATAGCCAAGGGTGCTGTCAACATAATGCATGTGTCCTGTTGATTGGGATATTCATTGCTGCAGATAGACTCCTCTAGACTAATTTATTTTTGGAACGCTTGTATCCTTGTCGAAATTTTGGCAGATATTGCCTCTAGGTAAAATTAGTGAGTCTATGTAAGGGTAAAAGAGTTTTGTAAGCAATGTAAGTACATGGGTAGTAAGTTCAAAACAGTTTTGTAAGCCTACTATATAAGCTCTATGTGCAATCTACCCTTTTTTTTTTGTTATAACATCTCAGTTAGTGAAAGACAGGTCTTGTTTTCTAGTATATTTATTAATATCTCATTTAGTGAAAAGTTTGATGACATTCCTTTTGGCACTTCATATGAGTATATGAGATGATCATATGTGATGGAATATCTAAGGATGTGTACTACAAGCGACACTTCTTGCAACATTCATTTACAATTTTCATGTTAGATTTAACAGGAATTGAGGCTAGAGGTTTCATTTTTGGCCCTCCGATTGCACTAGCAATTGGTGCAAAGTTTCCAGACTAATATCTGCTGCTAGGATGAACATATTATGTTAGTTTGACCAATAAAAATAATTAGCCCTTATGTATTTTGCTTTTGGTTACTTGTGGAAGAACTCGAACTCTAGGTATAATCACACACTATGGCCTTGATCAAATTAGACAACTTTGTTCGTTATTGGGTGCATCTGTTTCATGTATTGTGGCACAGGATGAAATTTCCAGCTGCTTGTTATAGAAAAGAGAAACATAATAAAATTATGGGAAAAATGCTTTCAGCCCCCAAATTCGTAATAAGTATGCTTCCCCCTCCCAAGACTTTTTCAACGCTCTCAAAACCCCCAAATTCATAATAACTATGCACTGAGACCCCAAAACACAAAGCCCAAGAATTTTACACAGGTAAAGACTAAAATGCCCATTCTCTTTCTCACCGTGCAATCCCTCTGCTCTCCTTCCCCCACCATTTTTGCCCTAGCCCCCTCCGTCCCTTCCACAACCCTCGTGGCGGCCGAAGCTCCTCTCCGGTCTCGCGCCTCGACCCCTCGCCTCCGCTCGCCGAGATCCGTCATGTCCACCGTCGATCCCAGCACGACCTCCGCTCGACCCCTCGCCTCCGTCCCCAACCCAATCCCTCAGGTCCATCATCCTCGAAAAACCCTACCACGTGCTCTCGAGCTCGTCCAGTCCGGCTCCGGCCGCCTCTCCGACCACGTGCAGGAGGAGCTTGTCCCAAGGCGGCAGAGTACAACAGCAAGAGAGTAGAGCTCGAGAGCGGCTTGCCGCTCAAAGGAGTGATTTGGACGAGCTCAGGGCACGCGATGTGGCACTGCGAAGGCGAGCTTCGAGCAACGGTTTCTTTCTGAGGGCTTCGTGGACTTCCCCGTTGAGGGGTCCTCCTCCTCCTCCTCCCTTGTGAACGGCTGCCTGAGAAATTCCGCGAGCCTCCTCATGCACTCCTCTGGCCTCTCCTGCATCTCTTCATACTCCAAAAAGAGCACGGACTCGGGCCTTTTCATGCTCTCCTTCTTGTATTCCATCTGATGGTCCCATATCGAACCAGGTACCCACCCTCACAAAAGCGGTCAAACATTTCATCCAGCGACGTGAACGGAGCATTAGGGGGCCTGCTAGCATTCGTAAAGTGCCAAAAGGGGACGAGCGCGTCCTTAGGATCCCGGCTGACCTAGACGACACGAGTGGATTTCTTGAAATTGAGGGAAAATATTCAATTCATTTGTTTATTAATTTTAATTTTCTGATATTTGAGGTTTGATCTATTTTTGAAGAACAGTTATTATAATCAGCAACTTTAATTTGGGTTTTTTTGGGGTTATAGGCTCTATTTTACTCGTGTAAAATTAGGAATCAAGAACGGAAAGAATCAAGATCGGGTCGGTTGTGAAGGATACGCGTTGGTTGTGAAGGATACGGATTGGTTGTGGAGGTTACGAATTGATTGTTAAGATTACGGGTTAATTGTGGAGGTTACGGGTTGGTTTGTGGAGGTTACGTATTGGTTGTGGAGGTTACGGGTTGATTGTTAAGGTTACGCGTTGGTTGTTAATGTTACGTATTGATTGTTAAGGTTACGGAGTTGGTACATAAAGCCTATAAAGTTTGATACGTAAACGTACTCGTCCTCTTGATTCATTCAAAGCCTCTGACCAGATTCTTCACGTGAGCCTGCAATAGTTACTAGTACTCCTCAACAGTACTCGTTACATCCACTATTTGATATTAGTCCATCAAATCTTTGGTATTCCTAAAAAAAATCCTTTAAATCATTGAAATGGCTCTAATCAGAAAATTAAGTCATGTAGCTATTTTAGATCTGGGCCCTTAATTCATAAAGCTGTCATTATGTAACTCAATTCTCATAATGGGCGAACTAATTTCAAAGTAAACTATGAAAACTGGGGGATCTTGTAGAAGTTTCAACGATCAGAGGGGCTAACCTCAAACTTCACAAGGTTTACGTAACCTCAACAAACCAACCCGTAACCTCCACAAACCAACCCGTAACCTTAACAATCAATCTATAACCTTAACAATCAACCCGTAACCTCCACAACCAATACGTAACATCCACAAACCAACCCGTAACCTTAACAATCAATCTGTAACCTTAACAACCAACGTTAACCTCCACAACCAAACCCGTAACCTTAACAATCAACCCGTAACATCGACAAACCAACCCATAACCTCCACAATCAACCAGTAACCTTAACAATCAACACGTAACCTCCACAACCAAACCGTAACCTTCACAACCAATGTGTATCATTCACAACCAACCCGTAACCTTCACAACCAACCCGTAAAGTGGAAAACTTTAGTCTACATTCTGTAATTTGCTACCATTGAGAAAGAGAAAAATATAGAAGAAACACTTTTTCCTTCTTCTGTTAGTCGTGGCTGCAATTTTGTAGTCATCATGACTTTACTATTAATCGAGAGCATTTGCACATTTCAATATTGGTCATTGTGGCTTATAAACAGGGAAGACCAATGATGCTGATGGGTGATGAATATGGTCACACACGCTATGGAAATAACAATAGCTACGGACATGATACTGAAATAAACCATTTTCAATGGGGACAGGTGAGTATCTATTTTTCTCTTCTTTCTCAGTAGTCCTCAAGCTAATTCATTTTGTTTGCTAGAATAGCTGGAAGAGAGAAAGGGTGATCATTTCAGATTCTTCTCAGAGATGATAAAGTTTCGTCAAAATCATCGTATATTATTAAACACGGAGAATAAAAGGTTACGGAGTTGATTGTTAATGTTAGCTTAGCAACCAACCCGTAACCTCCACAACCAAACCGTAACCTTAACAACCAATCCGTAACATTAACAACCAACCTGTAACCTTCACAACCAACCCGTAACCTCCACAAACCAACCCGTAACCTTAACAATCAATGCATGGTCTGAATACAATAGAGGAACATGTGCTTATAATTGGCTCTACTTTGTTCGTTTATTTAAGAGTGCTAATAAACACTTTACACTTGTCGACAAATGTTTGTCACCAAATTACATGTGAACAATCTAGGCCAAAGTAGATAATGTTAGTTTGCAGTAGACAGAGGGTAAACGAGACTGCTAGCTAGCAACATATTCCTTAAAGTCTCTTGTAGCAAAATTTCAAAATTACGGTGAGAACAGTTTTGCATTCTAGAGCATGTGTTTGCGGGCGTAGTATCAATTTAACTATTGAAATCTGAACTATTTAGTGCAGCGGTACCTTTTCTGAATCCATTTTAAAATTGTATCTGATACGATTTGAATCTCCATCTTAATGTGTTTTGCGTAATACCAAAATTTCGATATTGTGGGAAGACTGAGGATTATGTTTCCATATTCTTAATGGTTATGGTTGGTGTGCAAACATGGTTGATAGAAAATGTGCAATTAATAGTTGTATTTTCGTATTTGGTTGTTTTGTTACAACTCTAGTATATTTTTAGAGTCTATTCACCTGTGATATGGATTGCTTCTCTGTTTGGTTTGAATACAGTACAGGAACATGTGCTTATAGTTGGCTATTTAATTTTTTTAGTTAAAAGAGTTCCATGTATCTAAGACTGCTAACCACCACTTGATACTTGTCAATAAATGTTTGCCTCCAAAGATGTGAACCATCTAGCACAAAGTAGATGAGCTTAATTTCCTTGTACAAGAGTGTAACGAGTGCTCAAATTTAGACAAATAGTAAATGAGAATGCCAGTCAGCAGCGTATTCCTCAAACTCTCTCATATTGCCAAAATTCAATTTACAATAAGGATTGTCGGTTATAATTTTATATTCTAGAATATCTTTGCAGACCGAACATCCTTTTCATACATTGAAACCTTAACTATTTACATATCATTGTCTTTTTCTAAATCTGCTTAAGTTGTGAATGAATGAAAAACATGCTGAAGGAGAAGTAACTTTCCATGGCTGCTAAAGTTAGGTACATCTGTTTCATGTATTGTGGCACAGGATGAAATTTGCAGTTGCTTGTTATAGAAAAGAGAAACATAATAAAATTATTCATGGTTTTTATGCTCTGCTTTTATACAAAGATATTTATCCTTAACATAATTGAGCTGGTTGTTTGCTTGTTTCTTTCAGGGTTCATGAGGTGTTACAATCAAGAAAACTAATCTTGCTTTGATCTTCGGCATTTATGATGAGCCAATGACTCTTGGGCAGTGCAATATGATTGTTGAGAGGCTTGGTGATTATCTCAATGTGTAGGGATTTTAGGTTTGTTGTGTTTCCTTTTTCTATTCGAGTTTGGTGTGGTCTCTCGCATTGCAATGCTTGAAATGAATAATTGTCAGTTCAGCAATTATGTGGACTCTCGTGAGGGGTTTGATGTTTGGTTAATGTGTTTGTTATGATCCCTATCCCATCAAACTCTCGTGAGGGGTTTGATGTTTGGTTAATGTGTTTGTTATGATCCCTATCCCATCAAAATTTTGTCTGTATTTTTCCTTTGATTGGGGTTATTGTGGCTGTGTTTGTTATGATCCCTATCCCATCAAAATTTTGTCTGTATTTTTCCTTTGATTGGGGTTATTGTGGTATTTTAAGGCGAGTTGTGATGCTTATTCATAAGACATGTTTGCACGTTCGAAAAAGTTGTGCTCTATTTGAAATTTTTTTGATGTGGCATAAGTGGCTTCTTGTGGCATTGGTTATCGCAATAAACAATGTATATCATTTTGTAGGTGATGTATTCTTTGAGTTCTTTGCGCTTGGCATGGTAAAAAGAAAAAAAAATACATGATTGGTAATTTTAATGCTATCTTGTTCAATATGTTCATGCTATCCCTGAATGGGTTATGTACATGCATGTGCATATTTTGATAATTCAAAAAGTTTACAAAAAGCCCCTAAATTTTGCAAAAAGCCCCTAATAGTTACAAAAAATCTTCTAAATGTTTACAAAAAACACCCTAAAAGTATTATACATATATAGCTATTATAGTTAAATAGGTAAATTGGCGGCCCGTTTATTAAATGGGCGGGTAAAAACCCGCCTATTTAGAAAATGTTAAATGGACCATAAATGAGTAAATGGGTAAAACATGCCCGCTCATTTATGGTCCGCCCATTTAATACCCAAATCCACCCATTTAACATCCCTACTACCCAACATATAAAAATATAATATCTAGAGTGTTTTGAATTAGTATTTATCAATTTAGATTAACTTAAATCAAGGTTTAAGTCTTGGGTGATTAGGGTTCTTATGTTAGGGTTAATATGCATACTGTAACTTGATTAAATAAAATTTTAATGAGAACATGGTCCCATTACATTCTCATGACACTGAAAAATGTGTAATGAATTTGCAAATACTAGGGGTCGATATCGATAACGGTAGACGTGTATCAGAAAGGAATATGGAATATTACAACAAGGCTTTTTGTGACGTATGCTGCAAAGGACCAGACGTCTGGTGTTGTTATGATTGTTTGACTTTGTCTTGGTTAGACACTCATACATTGAGCTATACACCTCCGAATCAAATTCCAACTTGTTCCTGTAGATTTGAATTTATAGATATGTAAGAGAGAGAGGAGCACTTTCATACGTTCAAAGTTGATTTAGCTTCTGAAATTTCAAGATTAACTGTTGTCTTGTATCACTTTGTGTAATCTGCACATCATCTCAAAATACAATCAAATATATTTGAATGTTTATTATTTACCAAACCAAGTTGATCGAATGATTAACATCTAACATTATAAAATAAAAAAATATTCATGAGATATTATGTTGTTTTCATAAAATGTTATTATATTGCAGTAGAATAAAGGTTAAAAAAGCAAGATCTCTAGCGAAAACTTGTGCCTAGTAACATTAGAGAATGAAAATAAAAATGATTTAATCTCTTCAAACCCCTCTTTAATTTTAGCCTCTACTTAGAATTTTGATATCGTTTCAAACTGTTTGATTGGTAAATTTAATAAGAGAGGTTGGATATATTAAGAGAAAAGAGTAAAAGAGTAATTTTGAAATATAAAAACTCATAACTTTCAATTGCCATTGAGCTTAACATTTTTTAAACGTAAGAGTTTAGTAATAAGAAGGTAATGGTAAGGAGTTTCCTAAAAAGCGGTCAAATGAAGAGAGTATCATAATGATTACTTGTAGACGGTTAAGATATATTCTCTCTTTGACAGATGCTCAATCCAAGTCTAAGAAGTGAACCCTTATGGATTAAATACTTCAGATGGGATCAATTATAAGCTATAGAAAAGTTTGCTCGAGTCACATGCAAACATGATTGCATGCTAAACTCTAGCCCAACTCATACGAGCCAAAGAGGACCTGAGTCCAAGTTAGTCCTCAAGTTAGATTTAGGGCCGAGCCAAGAGACGTCCTCAAGTCGGTCGAATCAATAAACAAGCTCAAGTCAAGTTCCAAGTCAAATCTAAACTTATCAACAAAGTTCGCCAACCAAAACATGTGAACTCCACCACATAGCTAACCTCGACCGAACCCGACTGAGTCAAGAGTGGGACGACTACCACTTTAGGCCAAATCAAAAACATCATTAAGTCGGCCAAGTTACGAGTCGAATTCTACGCTAAATTAAAACTCGCCAGCGAAGTTCGCCAATCAATTAATCAGCAAACTTCACCCACAATTACCAACATGGGTCACATTGTCTATAATTCAGAAGTGATGGCCCACCCACACCCAAAATGAGCTTCGGCTAAATAGTCCACATGGGACACATAGCAAAGTTCGCCGAAACTATAGTGAAATTTGCTGAAGCCGAAGTGTAGCAAAGCTCGCCAAAGTTGTAGCGAAGCTCACACAAGCAGTAGCGAGTTTCATCCAATGGCCTACGTAGGCCGTGTCACCCATTCTGGCGAAGTTAACTCATGATCATTATTGATGAACTTCGCCTACAATCATTATTGATGAATCTCACCTATGGTCGTTATTGGTAAACCTCGCTCATAACCGTTTTGAGAAGCTATTTTTAAGGAAATGGTTAATGACCACTTACTCACCTATTTAAAGGGAGCTTGTGACCACTAACTCACCCATTTAAATGGGAGTTAATGACTACTAGCTCACCCATTTAAGGAAGTTAAGGCCCACTAACTCACCCACTTAATTATCTGAAGCCTATAAATAGGCATGATCAACATGAGACAAGTGGGCACATAGGCGAAGGAAAGGTCTTAGGCTAATATTATCTTCGTTAGACGAGAGAGAGAGAGAGAGAGAGAGAGAGAGATTCAGAGATTACATTGACATAAAACTCATCCCTCCTCCATTCTCATTGATCTTCATAGATTATTATCATGAGAGAGAGAGAGAGAGAGAGAGATTACATTGACATAAAACTCATCTCTCCTCCATTCTCATTGATCTTCATAGATTATTATCATGAGAGAGAGAGAGAGAGAGATTGAGAGGTTACATTGACATAAAACCATCTCTCCTCCATTCTCATTGATCTTCATAGATTATTATCATGAGAGAGAGAGAGAGAGAGAGAGAGAGAGAGAGAGAGAGAGAGATTCAGAGGTTACATTGACATAAAACCATCTCTCCTCCATTCTCATTGATCTTCATAGATTATTAACATCATCTAATCATTTGGTCCGATCAATGATCCTTGTGAGAAAGGATTCATTTTCTTCAGCCAGTCATCTAGCTTAATCAACAGTTCCTGTGAGGAATGGTCTGTTAATATCTCTTCATTCAGAGAAGATTGTGCTATCTTCTGTGTGGTTAGAGATCATCAATCAGCGAAAGTCCCATCATCTTAATCGGACCGTCAACGGAGAACAAGATCGACGCTCCATCGCCATGCAAAAAAGAACCCTAGGCAACATAATTTTTTTTCTTTGTTTCATTAAAATCTTTTTATTATAATCTGTGTTAGTTGTAATATAAAAGACCCGAAACAGGTTGGCGACTCTGCTAGGGACTACATTCTCCTCTAACAAGAAAGTTGTGTCACAGTCCAACACTAAGAACCTAAGGTCTTTTATTGAATTGTTGGTTATTGAATTTGACCAATCGAAGTTTGGGGAATTTATTTTTTAGAACCAATCATCGACAACAACCATGAGAAGTTGCCATAAAATTCACTAAATTGTGAATTCAGTATCTAAATCAACCCCCGCTGTGTAGAGGCGAACTTCACCAAAGATGGTCTGAGCTTCACCGAAAGCCAAATGAACTTTGCCCTGAGTGAAGAAGCATCAACCCTCACCTTCAGTGAAGGTCTAGATGTTCTCACGTCGTCTGACTTTAGACATCAGTCCACAACTCCCTTGAGAGTTCGTTTTAAAGCATCTCATGATACTCACTTTGCTTCCTCAATAAAGGCAAAGAATGAGAGTAATCCCTCATCTAAATTCCTGCAAGGGAATAATATCACTAAATGTGATTCATCCAATATCTCTAAGTGAAAGTCTGGCCAACGTACCATAAATTATGTTCACACACCAAAACTCAAAGTGGTGAAGTTAGCTCTAAAAAAAGCCATAAATTTGGAACTACAGGTGATCTGAGAGAGTTCCTATCTCTAAAGAGAGCTCGCCAATGTTAGCATTATGTGGCTCTCAGAGAAGTTATTTTGGTAGTTCAAAAGAATTGTTAATGCACAGTTATTCCTGAAAAGAAATAAGTTTACAGTCGTCTAAGTCACAATCCTGAATCCTTAGAGGTTCGGACTAAAAGACAACGACGCACCTGAAAGGGTAAACTTCAAGATTTCCATAGTCAACATGACTAGTATCATTTTTGGAGATGATGATGAAGGTGTGGACAGCACGTCTGACCTAAGATATTCTCTTGGCATAGGAGATATACTACCAAAAACTGATGGTGTATATCCTCACACCAGATCAAGGCGGAGAGCAAAAATTCCTATTGACTACTCCCTCCTCCAAACACGAGCACCGTGAGCTCCGTCTCAAGTTGACCAACCTACTTCTAATAATGCTAACTCAGTCATAGCGTTGAATACCACTCCAAGCTCAAGTCAAGAGCAACAATGGGTAGCATATATGACAGACTAAGGGGATCTTCTTGCTCAAATGGCGACTTAGAAGAAGGATTTGGAAGAGCGACTTGAAAGTTTAGAGAAGATATTTGAATAGTTCTTGTCTGCTTCTCACCTCGCCCAAGTTCTTCTAAAAGAAAACGACCAATCGTTGAATTTTTCCTGGATGAAGAGCAAGTTCGTCAAGAAGATGCAGATTCTGACCACTTGGGGTCAGAGACCTTAGCACTTCCTAAGCTTAGCAAAGAAGCAAAGCCCTTGGAAGACATTCAAAAATAGATCAATGCTCTTTCTCAGCATACTGAACTAAAGAAGTTCAGGATCACTCGATCATATCCCATCCAGTGGGACTCTGTTC